AGCTGAAATCTATCCTCTTTAAATAAACTGATCCTCCAGTATTTTCCCAGTGTTGGTGTAAGTTGTTGTCTGTGATGTCCCCCAGGGCTCTTTCCTCTGCTCTCTGATTTGGTATATAAAGCAGCGCTGAATGATGGATTACTGTGTCATTGCAGCCAGTGAAGGATTAATTTGTTTCATTGATTTCTCTTTAGGCAGATTGCCAGAATTTGCTACTTCCCACCTTTTCTCAAGACTTCTAGAAGTAATAGACAGTAACAGCCTAAGACAAATCAGCTCCGTCTTATAAAAACAGCACCAGGAAACCAAGAGTCCTAGGAAAGCTGTGGCAAACATTTTTATTGGCATACTGAGGAAAGCAATTAATAAGCTACTTTATTCGCTTTAGAAATGCTTTTAATTGAAAAAATTCTGGAATTGACGGTATACAACACAACATGTTAGTAGACTGCAAATAAGTGCTTATATTTGTCCCATAAAATGTTTTATGATTTGTAAGTAACCAACAAGGAAAAAGTATGTTATCTATGTAACTAGCAAATGCTTTACTTTCTGGGGCCAGGTTTTGAAACCAAATAACCTAGCGTACAACTTTAAGTAGTGTGTGTGTGTGTGTGTGTGTGTGTGTGTGTGTGCAATCATTTAATTCAAATTTTTTTGGGAACTTTGAACAATGACAGACTATCAGAACAGAAAAATATAATGTTTAAATAAAAAAATTTTCTGATTTAAAAAGATAGTGTCTATGCATAAGAGAGAATTTGTAAAAATTAGAAATGATGTTTTGTGTTTTCTTCATACCTTTTTCCCTCCAAGCATTTAAGTATGATGTTATTATTATTGTCATTTATATTGACTAAATGGTGCTTGAACATATATGCTTTAATTAATCATTGCTCTGTTTTTGGTGAAATTATATTTCTAATTTCCCATTATTATAAAGTTGTGCATGTAAAAAATCTTTAATCATGGCCATTTACTCACAACATATTATTAGAAAAAAGTAGCTACTTAAACTGATGGTACAGACTGTTTTGGATTCTTTGTGTTGATGGCCAAACTTTTCCAGAAAACTTCTACCACTTTATACCAGTACTTTGAAAAAAACATTCTCAGTCAATGCAGTGTTCTAATTTATGTTGCCAGAGCAAAGAAAACGGAACAACATTCTTTTCCTTGTACTCTGAAAGCAACAGTAGCATTTGCATGTACTTAGTCTCTCAGAAGTATTTTCCCAACTGCAGATGTGAAATAGGCTGGTTATACAAATCTATTTGTTTCCCTTCTGTAGTGCTGAACATTATATTGATTTAATGATCTCAAGTTATACTTTTTATGCAATTAGTTGTGTAGTAGAAACTAATATTGTCATGTGCTAATGTCTCTTTTCCTTCTATTGTGTGATAGTGGTAGTCCATGCAGTCTCAGCAAGTTTATGCTTTTCCTGCGCTTTGCTGAAAGGAAAAAGGAACATCTGTTTCCATTATACATCTGCATCATAATGATAACAATTAAATAGCTATTATGGTAGTATACAGTAAATATATTTTGCTGAATGACCTATATTTACTTGTTGGAAAATTTCAGATATATCAGAGGCACTTAGACTTGCAGGTAGGCTCCATGTAGAAGCTTAAAAGGCCTTCGCTTACTTTAAGGTAAATTATTGCAGTTCTAATTTGTCTTAGTAAAAACAACTAACCTGATGATTAAACATTAGGACTTCAGATGTGACTCTTGAATAAATTTCTCTCAGGCATATGTTTAGAGTACAAATTACTGGGCATCTCTCATTATGTTTTTATTTATTTATTTATTTATTTATTTATTTATTTATTTATTTTTTCTGTCGTCTTGAAACAGGGTCTCCTGATTGCCCCAGATTGCCTGGAACTTGCTATGTAGACCAGGCTGGCCCCAATCTCTTAGAGATCTACCTGCTTCTGCCTCCTGAGTGCTGGGATTTGAGGTATGTGCCACCATGTCTGGTCATTCATACATTTTAAAAATATTTATCATTGACCTTGACTGAATGATCTAATTCTTCTATTTTGTCTTCAATCCTTTGTATCCTATCTTCTACATGATTCACTGTACTT